TAAGAAAATTAAAAGATAAGTTAAAAACACATCACTGAATGAGAAAATATTCACAGTATGTATCACTGACAAAAAATCCCACAATATATAATGGATTCCTGCACATTAATGAGAAAAAGAAAATCCACTGGAAAAATCATAGAACATTTCTATAAGCACTTGAATAAAAAGGAACTCCATATGGTCCATAAGCATATCAAATGATACTCATCTTCACTGATCATCAGGAAAACATACACATAATCAGGGAAGTCCACACTGAAACAACACAGGGTATAATTATGCATTCACTAGATCTACAAATATTAAAAAGAAAACCTAATGATACTGCTGTCAAGGATGTGGCAAAAGAGCTAATTTTCATACCATGATGGGAGCATATGGTGTTACAACTACTTTGGAAGACTAGTCTGGCATTATTTAGTAAAGTTTAATGTAAATATAACATACGGATCATTGCTTCCCTTCCTGGGTAGGGAAACTTTTCCATCATGCACCAGAATGCAGGTACAAAAGTTTGTAGCCACTTTGTTTATAATTGTTCCAAACCAGAGGCACAGTTGACCAATAGAATGAAGTAAAATTGGCTATATTCTTAATATAACATGGAACACAGAGATGCAGATGAGTGAATGACAACTGCTCACTAAAATATGCATGAATCTCATAAAAATAAAAATAATTAGAGAAAAATAAGCATAAAATAATATATATGTGACGCTGTTTATGTAAAGTTCAAAACTGAGCAAAGCTATATTGCTTAGAATATTCATAGGCATTACCATGTTTAAAATAAACAAAGGAAACATTACAGTAGGAGCCCATGTAATGTTTACCTATGTGGGAAGGGAGAATGCTGCAGTTAGAAGGAATAAACAGAAGGCATAGCTGGCATTGCTTTTGTTTTTTAACTTGGGTGGGTGGTGATGATATGAGTATTCCCTTTAACTCTATTTTTAAACCTTACTTATGTTTCATGTACAATTATGCATATATATTATAGTTAAATTAAAAAAAAATTCCATAGCATACCTAGTGTTCTGAGTTGATAAGGACAACCCATTTCTTGTAAGTTTTGGTTAATAGCATGATTCATTTCTCAGACTTGCTTGCAGTTAAAGATGGGTATGAAACAGCATTCTACCCAGTAGTGTATGAGTGAAGTGACATATAGAATTCCATGGCATGGTGCAAAACATTTCCTATATGTGATCCTCCACACTTTTTTTTTTCCTTTCAGCTGAACATAATAAAAACACCCAACAGGACATCCAAAGGTCCCATTTGATGTTGGCAGAGCCACGAGCATCTTGAATGGTCCTGTCTGTCTGTGAGTAAGAAATTTGTCTATTGCGTTTGAACTTTTTAATATTTTACCCTACTCTAAGTAATATGTATAATTTCTCAAATTTTTCATAAAATTAGAAAGGAAATGTGGAGATTTTGTGTTTACAAACAATCTCTCTTAACAATTTTTATGGGTACTAAGGTAATTATTTTTTAATAATAAATAAAATAAGGGCAAGTAGGGGCAAGCAAGTCTCTGAGTATCTGAAGAATTTTTGTACATAATTCAGGATGAATGAGACAAGTTTAAATCTGTAATTGGTAAAGAAGCAGTAGTCACATGTATTAGCTGCAACAGGAAGAAGTTTAGTCATTTTTGTGATTTGAACAATGTTTGTGTTTCTCACCACATTCAGATATGTCTGAGGATTTAAGTTGCTTTTGTCCTGATCCATTGTGGTCACACAGGGTACTTGTCTGAATAACTGTGACATTATTTATGTTCAACAAAAAACACCAACACCTGTTTGTAAATGAAAGGAAGCTCCTAGCAAACCCCAGGGCTTGGGTGATAGCACCAGACATGCTTCCCGGGTATCAGGTGGCTGCTTTTATTTATTCAGAATCATTTTCCCTTTTAAAAAATAGGCTATTTGTTCTTATTTTTAGATTCTCATTCTTATATTTTAGATTTTTCTTATTTTTACATTTAGATCTTCTTGATATAAGTCCTTTATCAGTTACGTGATTTCCCAACAAGTCTGTAGCTTGTCATTTTACCTCTTGTCACTTTACCTCTTGTCATTTCATCCTCTGTTACCCTAGGGATAATCTATTACCCTATATTTTTTATCCTTTTAAATAGCCAAACTTCTTAATTTTGATAAAATCCAATTTATCAAATTATGTTCTATGGACCATGCTCTAGGTGTCATAATTAAGATAGTTTGCTTAATCCAAAGTCACAAATACTTTCTTCTGTTAGTTTTAGTGCTTTAATTGCATTGATTGATTTTTAAATGTTAGAAAAATCTTGTATCCTGGAAAGTCTCTCTTGCTTATAATACATTTTTTATATGTTGTTGGATTTACTTTGCCAAAATTTTAAGCATAGTCTATCTATGGTAGTGAGTATTGGCCTGTAGTTTTCTTTTCTTGTAATGGAATGAGATGTTTTCCCTCCTCCTCAGTTTTATGAAAGAGTTTGTCTAGAATTGGTATTATTTCTAAATGTTTGGTAAAATTCTGCAACAAAGCCATCGGAGCCTGGAATGTCTTTGTAGGAAGGTATAATACATTCAATTTATTTAATAGTCATAGGGCTAGTCAGGTAATTTATTTCTTCTTGAGTAAGCTTTGGTAGCTTGTATCTTTCAAGTACTTTGTCCATTTTATCTCAGTTGTCAAATTT